CAATCAGGACAGCTGCCAGGTAAGCGATGGTCGAAGTTGGGGTTTGTCGCGTTGCCCTGTTTCCTAGCACATTGGGGTCGTGAGACCATAATCATCATCAGATCATCATCATATCATAATCCTTAGTATCCTCAGGATCTTCATTATATCTGCAGTAGTATAAGCGACATTATCAACTTAGTTCAACTAAAGTTACGAGGTACGGTGGGCTCGGTTCCCAACATGGGCTTTCCCAACATTTTAACATTGTATCTCAGGCACCGCTGGACTCGTTTTCCAGCTGGTGTAGGTCCCCACCAATAGACAGGAGCCCCCTGTAGAACAGGTAGGAGTGTATGCAACTCCCATCACTCCTAGCTGTTGATGAGGATTGAATTAACGAAAAAGAAAAAAAAAAGGTGTAGAAGTGGTCTAGAAACATTCTTATTTTCTTCCTAATTATCTTCTTAGTTGAAGCTGGGTAACGACTTCGGTCTTTCGAATTGTATCTTCAATTTTCTTATTATTCTCATGTAATCGAGGACGCTGGGCCTGGTTCCCAGCACATGCTCCTCCCCATGAATAGATTGGAGCTTCACTGCTAAAAAAAAAAAAAAAAAAGATAGCGGGAGGTACTTAATATGTTAAATCACCAATGCTTCCGAGCCTCTTTCTCCTTAGGATCGAAACACACTGTGTGCCAAAGGAAAACAAACCAGCGTGAGCGTCCTTTTGGTTGGCGCCACCACCCATTTTGCTCCAGAAGTTAGTCTCCGAAAGTTGCAGCGTGCATGCAGCTACATTGGAGAAAATGGCTGGTGTTACGATCCTGGTCATTCCCAAAGTGCAAATTCACAATGAAAGACAATGCCACCCAATTGCGAAAGAAATGAAAGCACGTGCAAAAGAGATAGAGACCAAAGAAGAGTGAAAGAAGAAAAAAAAGAAGAAGAAGAAGAAGATGTACACAAGTAAGACCAATGACAAATCCCCCTTCTTTCTCCACCTTCCTCCTCCTCCTTCACTTCGCCAATTTTTTTCTTCTTCCAATAATGTAGCGGACCTTTGGTTGGCCTGTGAGACCAGCCCCTTGGCATGTTCCCACCGGCCTGTGTTGTATTTGGGGTAGGCCAGTCAAGGACGGTACCTCTATCGGTACCCGCCAATCCAGTCCAGTCCAGTCAGTCCGCTGGGTATACCCTAGCCAGAGTCTGTACTTGGATTCATTCTATATTTGCACAGTTTGGAGTACGTGCGTTGTAGTCTGCGTGGGAGCTGCGCTATGCCATCTTGCTCCACCCTCATCCTTTATCTCCATCTTTATCCCAGGCGGAGCACCTCACCCGGTGGGTCCGCCACACTGGTATGGGAGCCGGAACGTTCCCCGCTCCCACCCGCCACACCGCACAGTGGGGAAACTATGTAAAACCCGACAACGGGTTTTTTGGGTGTTTTTTGCTGTTTTCAGCGGAAAACGGCAGGAAAAGGTGATGAAACGTGCAGCAGCGAAGGAGTGACACGTGGCGAGAAAAGAGAGACGATGTTCGCATGGCCAAGGTCGCCGCACACACACGCGCCATGCTGCCCCGCTGCCCCGCCTTGCCCCGCTCCCGGATTACTTATATCCAGATTCAGGATGCATTTTGATGCCAGGGTTTGAACTTGGGCAGCTACTGGCCATGCGCGTGCGTAGCTGCTGCCATAACACACGGACCATAATGTGTCTATGGCTTAGTAGTGCGGCATCCTGGTGTTGAAGAAGTGTTGTGCCAGCTATTT